TGAACTTGATTTCACGGGAAGGGGTTCGTTGTGGCCCCCGGGAGAAGCACACTGGGTAGGTGGGCCCCTCCTGCCCCCCTCCTGCCCCCCCGGGGGCAGGAGGGGGGCAGGAGGGGGGCAGGAGGGGGGCAGGAGGGGGACCCACCTACCCAGTGTGCTTGTCGTCGTCGTCGCACATCGCACGCGTTGCGGCAGCAGCATGACCCTCTCTCGCCCTGTCCGCTAGCTCTGATAAGGATAAGGTGTACTAGGTATTTAGGTCTGTCTGTCTAGCCGGGGGACTAGCTGTCTAGGTGCCCCCCCGCTGTGTGGGGTAGTCAGTCCCAGCCACCTAGTCGCCCTTCGCCACCTTCGCCACCTTCGCCCCCACAGCGCCGCATTAGTCCTGCGGGTGGGCTCTGACACCACGCGTTCTAATCGACATCATCGTCGTCGTCGTCAACTACCACCACTACTACTTGATCCAGCAGATTCCCGCAGCTACGCCCAGCTACAGCTTCAAAATGGACAAGGTCCAACACACGTCACTGGCGGCTATTCTGAGCTCTCGCCGCCATCAAGTTGTTCGCGTGTGTGTGTATTGTGTGTTGCGGTTTGTTACAATGGCCTCCAGACTACTACTACCTCGTGCACACCACCATATTGCCAGCCATTTCCCTCAACGTGGCTCAAATGATTGCTAACTCAGATATACACACACGTGCATACACGTCCACATACACACACACACACAATCACCTGACGGGACCGGGCGGCGCCGCCACCTCGCCGCCTGCATCACCCCCCGCCGTCTGCCGCTCCCTCTCCCTCTCCCGCTCCTCCGCCGCCGCCGCGTACGCCTGCCCGCCCTCCGTTTGCTTCACGAGCGCCCTCACCCACCCCAGCCGCTCCTCCGTGGCGGAGGTGGGTGTGGAGGCGATAACTGACAGCCCCGCGGGCCCGGTGGCGCTGGGATGGCGAGCGGGTCGGGGGCCGGAGGAGGAAGAGGAAGAGGAGGACTGCGCGAGGGCGCGGTCCAGGGCACGAGCCGAAGCGGGGCGGCCGCTGCTGCTGCTGCCGCCACCACCACCTGCCGCACTGCCTCCCGTACTTTCCCTTACCGCGCTGTGGTTGTGGAAAAGGGGGTCCGGAGGAAAGGGAGGAAGGGGATAGGGGTTAAGGGGAAGAGGATAGCGGGGGCGGTTGGTTTTGGGGGGATATAGGATTGGTTGGGAAGAGGCCGTTTTAGGTGGTTACCTTGGGGTTTCACGGTGGGGTCGACCAAGATTGAGTGATGGCCGGGAATGAGAGGCGGGCGCACACACACACACACACATCCCACCTTTCCCTCTTCCCCCGTCGCGACTGGTTAGATACCTCTCTCATACATCTGGCGTATCCTAGTCTATATCCTCCTTGGCATCAGCTTCACTCGTTCACGTGGTTCGTCTTCCCCCTTCCCCCCACACGCGGCTGCACATGCGAGTGCACAATGACGCCGCTTCACTGCACACGGACATGCTTTCCAACCGTTGTTCCTTTTCCCCAACCCATAACCCCCATCCACCCCCACACCCCCACACACGGCCCCACTGACCCAACACATCCATGCACCGAACATCATCCCCCCCCTCTTCGCTCACGTCAGCATGGCCCGGTTCTGAGCTTCCCTAGCCCGCACCGCCGCCTCCAGCGCCTCCACGAGCACCTCCGCCGCCGCCCGCAGAGCTGCCGCCGACTGAACGGCCTCCTGCGCCAGGGGCCCCCCTCCGCCTGCTGCCCCTCCGGCCCCCGGGGGGCCCCCTCCGCCCACTCCCCCAACCCCCATGCCGCCCCCACTCAGAAACCCTAGGATAGACCCCGGGCTCCCCCGGGTGGAAGGGCCCCCGGGGCCGCCGCCCGGTACACTTGCCCCCGATGTGAGGAGTGGCGAGCCTGGGTTTGATCCCGGGGCCCCCATAGGGCCCGGGGTCATCATGAGCGCTATGGTCGTGGCGCTAAGGGGGCGGCCGGGGCCGGGGCCAGGTCCGGGTCCGGGGCCGGGGCGGCCGGTGGCTTCGAACAAGGCGCCTCGGAGAGCTGCGGAGGCTGCTGTAAGGCCTTTTGGACGGAGACGGTGTTTGAGGGAAGGGGGAGTGAGGAGGAGAGGGGGGTTGTGGATTGATGGTGGGTGTCAATGAAGTGGAGAGGGCGTGCCTTGTGAAGTGGGGGTGGGGGTGTGCGTTGTGAAAGGTCACAATGGTGGCGAAGATGGTGGTGAAGGCTTTAGCCAGTCATGCACATCTAAGTTGGGATGGTTTGAGATTTCCACAGCTGGATGGCTACTGTTTGCTTAGTATATATTGAGGGGGCAGGTGCGTGGCCCAACCAGGTGGTAGCTGCTATGTGCTGTGGCAATGGCCATGGTATGCCACCGGGCATAAAAGGGCAGAACGCAAGTTGACCGGGCTCGTTGTCCAGAAGCCGGACTTGGGAGGTCATAATGTATTCGAAACCAGATCCGTGGTGGGAAATCCCTACCTGACAACGCGAAGCCGCGCTCATCGGAGTAGCTAGTACTAAGTTCCTGGGCGCCGGGGCTGATGCGCGGGGGCACGATGGCTGGCAAAGTCGATGGCATGGCGGAAGTTTGCATGTAATCAGTCTTGCAGCTCTACGTGCGCAGGTCTTGGAATTCCATGGCCAACTGCACGCATGCAGCCCCGAAGGACTCAATCCTGAAACGTATTTCGAGAGCTAATCCCAGGCATCCAGGAAAGGTTCTGTATGGCTATGAATTTAACCGGTTCAGCTTTGTGTAAAAGTCGAAGCAGGTTGGTGAGTTGCGATTTTGTACAAGCTGCCTCCAAACTGATGTTTGAAATGCTATTTCGTGTGATATGCCTGACGGATGAGTTTCTGTTACTAGTGCCGTCAAGTGTCCACCTCTATAAGCCCGTACACTTACCTCGGAAATGCAAAAGGCTTGGTTTCTAGATAGCTCATGCACAAAGAGATACATCACAGGATTTGCTTGTCATTTGTCGTTTGGCTTCATAGTGGTTTCGTGCCTTGTTCGTTAGTAAGCTGTCACCAAAGCGGACACTGTGCACATCCAGGGAATCAGTGTCAACATGGTCAAGATCATCAATGGGGAAATAGTCCCAGGTATGTAAAATCGTGGATTTAGAAAATTCTCGGATGAAGCGCATTTCACGCCTAGATTGCTCAACTGTTCGGTCTATTGAGGATTGCAGACAACGATCCGAGGTTGCAACAACGATACCAGATTCACAGTTCAGGCCCGAGGTAGGTCCTCCCTGTTTGTAGTGGACGCCCTTTACTCAAGGCCCAAGGTTTTCGACCACCCGAAGGTCCTGATTCTCCTGCTGCCAACCTTGAGTAATCCGGCGAAGGCGCACCACCCCATAAACACTCTCTCCATTAAGAACCCACACGCGCAAATCCACATTGCTCCGACATCTCCCAGGGTTTCAGGTCCTGTCGAGGCAAGCGACGCCAGGCGACCCGGCGCAGCAGCGCCTGGAGGGGAAGCCCGGGGCGGCAGCATTGGCTTCAGCTTGCAAGCCCCCCCGCTGCGGTACGTATATGCCTTACCTCTGTACGAAAATTATACACACCTGCAGCAGGGTGTTGACACGCGGGTTCCGTTACTCCGTGCCGCCGCCTCCTGCGCCCTGTGTCAGGTGCCCAGTTCAGGACACGGCGCTGTACAATGTGTGTTTTCGGTCGGGCCCCTACCTCCCCCCTCTCCCCCCCGCCCACCATACCCGCCAGAAATCCCTACCCACCCACCCACCCACCCACCACAGTATTAGCCTTATCTTGGAGCATCCGTCCAAAGCTTTCCCTTCGCGTCAATCGTCTATGCTTCGTCGTAGCCTCTTCCCCCCCCCACCACCACCACCACAGCCACAGCCACGTCTCCACCACTCCGAGTATCACTCTGAGTCACCCACATTTGGAGGCCATGACGACCCCCACGATTCGCAGTCCCTTATCAGCGGGATGATTTAGGATCTCCGCGGGTTGGCTGGCTGGCGTACGACATGACACCGCTGCTGGCGGCATGTCTGTTTTTATCGTTGTCAGACGCGTAATTGGAAAACGGTCACAATCCTTGTCTGTCCGTCTGTATGTCTGTCTGTTTGCCTTGGGTTCCCTTTCTTAGTGGCGATGGACCTGTTGCGTTTCACTTCCCCCTCCTCCTTCCCTCACCACACACATACATACGCGTTACCAGAAACCAGCTCTCCACAGCACCCCACAAATCCTTTGACTTCGCTGCCCCTCCCTCCAACCCTCCCTCTAACGTTTTTCCAGGTTCGTTCCTCCCCCACCCGGAGTTGAGCCCCTTCTGGGCTTGCCAGATGCCCAGGTGTTTGGTGTACGGATCTCACCGTACGCCGTACTTGCGGCAGCTGCCCTGGGCATGTTCTTCGGATGGTGGGTTTGGTCGTTCGCCCACTTAAGGGGTTGAACGTGCTCCCGTTCAGCTTGGATGTGAGAACCCCCAGGTTTAGGTGCAAACCCCCCGGGGGGGGGGGGAAAGGGTTTCTGGGTGTTGGTGGATTGCGGGATTTGTTGCTGCTCTGGCTGTGTACGACACGATCCCGCGGGGGCAAAAACGGTTGATTCGAGTTGAGAGCAACATAGATAGAGAAGTGCCGGCATCAGGCTGTGTCCATCGTTTTGAGACCTCCACACACATGTATACATACAAACGCACACGTCCCCGGCAACCCCCGCGCACCCCGCTGCGTGCGCATCTCAATGTACCGCAATTTCAACTTGTCGCCCGTCACGTCCACGAATACTGTTTGCTTCCCCTCCCTTCCTTTTGCACAGGCGCGGCGCCGTGGTGGCCGTAATTCTGTGTAAGTTGGCAAATGGCATTCGTACACATGTAGTACGGTAGTACGGATGCCGGGTTGTACTTACACACGAGAATGAGGATACGACCTTCCTTGGCTGGGTCTTGTACGATCAAAGATGCCGTATTTCTCTTATATGTATACATAGATGTACAGTGTCCCAAGGGCAACTTATTTCCGAAGCGTCCGTGTGCGCCTCAGCAGTACCTGTCCTGTGTGGCAGTGCTGGCTGGTCTGTCCTGTACCAGTCCTGTCTCGCTGATGGCGAGCTGGCTCCCCTCCTCGCCGCCTGCAGACTTTGTGTACCTCGCGAGCCAGGACAGCAGCAATACCCACAACAACAACAACAACAACAACAACAGCACTAGCCCTCCTGGACGGGCAGCTCCGTCGTCAAGACAAGGTGCGGGACCAGCAGCCGCAACGACAGCAGCACCCCAACAACATCAGCAACATCAACAGCAGCATCAAGGGGTTAACGTAGCTGGTGACTGGCTGCAGCGGTATCTGGAGGGCCCGAAGCCGCGGTCAAGGGAGCCGAGGTCCACTTCTGGCCCGGAGGGGGCCCCGGAGGTGCAGGGAGGTGGCGGGGCCCTTGGCGGCGCTGGTGGTGGCGTTTCCGAACCTGCAGATGGTGGAGGGTCCGGGTGGGCGGCGTTTCAGGGCAGGGGTAACAAGCTTGGGAGCAGCTAAGCAGTTTGATATGACAGCTTTTTGATATGGCTGTGTAGTGCCGAGGTTTTCTGGGGGCCGTCTGACTTTGTTTTTTCTTGAGCTTCCACAGCATGAGACGGCCTTTTTACATTTGCGTGAGAGATCCCACCGGTAACTCAGTTTCCGTGTGAGAGTTTGGAACGAGTTAGCGCGTGTTGGGCTGCAACTGGCTGGCACGTTTGTGGAAACAGAACTGAGGCAGGTGGTAATGTAGGCCGTTCGGGTCCCAACAATTATGAACGTATTCCGAGTGTGCGGAGTGAAATGCTGTGTGACGACTCAAGTTAGCGTGAGTTGATACCGTGATGCCATAATGCGCGCAATTTGATGATGTTTGACTGTACGACAATGCAACGCGCACAAACATTATTACACAAAAAACGAATTGTGCTGAAAGAGAGAATATACACCGACATGACAAGAGTAGAGTCTTTCAGCCATGTTAGACGTGGCCTACATGCAGCGCAATTTTAAAAAACTCGACCATTTTCAAAGCCTCCTCCACCGCAGCCCTATGTCCGTCCACAAATGGTCCCAGTCGACCACGCTTGCTATTCCGGTCTACGTAAACCGCCAATGCATTAAGATGCATGGCGATTTCCTATTTTAGATGGCAATCAATTGGCCTTGAAGACCTGAACAATCAGATAGATTAGAAACCTAACCCGCCAGTGGCGCCCTTACAGCCTGTGCGGGTTGAGACTTGTTCAAAAAACAACACCAGAAGCCTCGCTTTCAGAGTCTTCTCGCAGGGTGCCATTTCCCGCTGCCAGAGCCACTGTAGGAACTGTAAATGCCTGCGTGCACGTCTTACAGAGACACATTTACAAGAGGTTGCATCCCGCTACGCCAACTTCTATACGCCTCTAATGAAAACTATAAGAACACAGAACCTCCTTTAAACAAACGGTCCACGAATGCAAGTCCGTCATGGCACACTCCATACTCGAAGAGGTCCTACAACGCCATAATACACCCTGTTCGGCGAAGGACCCAGAAACGCTCAACTCCGCCCTCGCACTCGCAACCCAGTTGCTGTCGATAGCAGGCGACGGCGGCGCTACCACTCGCGATGACAACAACATATCACCGACGAGGGTGCGGCGCAAGAACGCCGCTCGACGTAAGTCCTCGATATCACACAACACCACCACCGAGTACCCAACTCACAGCCCTGCACCCAGCTGCGGCGGCCTGTACACCCCGGGAATCACCGACGGTGGGCTTAATGGGTTGTAGCGGGCGGCCCCGACTGGCTGATAAGGGTGCGTCGCCCGGAAGCTGCTCCCCAACACCGCGTCCCCTGAGCTCAGTTGCTGAGTGGTTGTGCCCGCCTGTGTCCCGGCATAAGCCGACGGCCCGAAACCCGGTGGCGGCGGCTTAGGCGGCGCCGCCGTCGTCATGGACTGACGGGTTGCGCCGTACGACAGAGACTGGTCCCCGAGGCCAAGTGGATTGTAGGGCTGCGTCACGCCGTTGCCCAACTGGCCCCCGAGGGACATCCCCGACGCGCTCAGGTTCTGCCACAGAGACGTAAGCCCGGTCGACGCCGCCAGGTCCATGCCCGGCAGACCTGACCACATCGAATACGTGCGCGGGGTGCCATTGGCGTTGCGCCCGACGGGCCCTGAGCTCGTGCCAAACCCGGTATCGTTGACCTGCTGTGTCGGGGGCTGGATGGGCGCGCTCATGGCCGGCGGTGACTGGACGACAGTCCCCTGCAGGTGGTTGAAGCCGGGCGGCGGCGGAGGCCGCGATGTGGGTACAGCAGCCGTCCCTGAAGCCTGAGCCAAGATAGGCTGCGGTGCTGCACCCGCGGCCGCCGGAGCAGGAGGGTGTGCAGCGGGTGCGCCAAAGCCCGGGGGCGGCTTCGTCGCTGCCATCGCGGAGCGCGTCCGCGCGGCTTGACCATCCTGATCCTTCTGCCGCAGCAGCGCGTACAGCTGTGTAGCAGCCTCCTTGCTAGAGACAGTGCCCTGCGCCACACCTTGCTGCATGGATGCCAGGAGCGCGGGCGCCTCGGGATACGGCTCCACGCTGTTGGTGCCTAGTGATAGCGGCACGTTAACAGCGCGCCGCAGTCCATTCACCGTTGTCGCGACCTGGGCACCAAAGTATGAGGCCGACTCGAAGCCTGGCGGCGGCATGGGTGGGAAGGCAGAGGATGATGAGGACAGCGACGCGGCACCCACTTGCGCGTGCTGCGCTTGGTATTGTTGGTGCTGATGCTGCAGCTGCAGGAGCTGCTCGGGTGTCACGGGCGGGTCCTGGGACATCAACTCCAGCGAGGAACTGCTTGCCACACGATCCATGGAAGAAGCCACGGAACTGCTACGGCGGGTGTCCGCTCCGGATTGCTCATAACTATTGGCCCCTTCGCTCGCCCCTGATGGGCTATGTCGGTGCTGGTGGCCTGCGGCTTGCGTTGAAGTACTGCCGTTGGCCCCCTGACTCTGCTGCTGACCATGCAGCTGCGGCTGACTAGTGTGCTGAGACGCAGGCCCATGACCACGCTGCGGTTGTTGTTGTTGTTGTTGTTGTTGCTGCTGAGGTGGCGCACTTAGGGAAGGCCAAGAGAACTCGTCCATGCTCAATGCAGGTCGCTCCATCTCCACAGACTGGTTCCTAGATAAGCTACTCGGCGAAGGGCTAGCCCACGTCACGCCGCTAGGAAGGCCGGAAGACGACCCCTGGCCTGCGCTATCCTCCTGCGTCCCACTACCTCGTTTAGCGGCTGGCACGGGCAGCGCGTCCCGTCGCGCAGCGGAATGCGAGGCAGTGGGCTTAGGTGGAGCTCTGCTGCCCAACGACAAAGCCGCCGACGTCGACGTTGAGGCCGAAGACACAGAAGCCGCGTTTGATCTTGTCTTAGCGGCTTCCTGTGCGCGTTCTGCCTCCAGCTTCTTAGCATACTCCATCGCCTCTTCACTGCCGTAAGCTCTTCGGCAGTTTGGGCAAACACTGTTGCAAAGTAGCTTGAGCTTTTCATAGCAGAACAAGCACATACGATACCTGCGGGGAGGCCACAGCGCTGTGTATGCAGCCAACCCAAGACCGAGCAAGCGCGAGAAAGTCCCAGAACATAAATTTTCGTTTCCTCAAACGTGCGCTTACCCGCACGGACAAGGCTGGAAAGACTTATCCGTTTCGTCGAGATCCTCAACGCACAGTGGGCAGACATCCTGCAACATAAAGACACGACCCTTACCGCATGCCGCGGGAACGGCAACCTGATACTGCTAGACTGGGAATAATCCTGGACAAGTATACCTTCTCATCATCGTTCTTTGACGGCTGTTGATCCTGGCCCACGGACCGTGCGATGGGGGCAGGCTTTGCTCCATTTTTCCCAGCTCTCACCTGCAACCAAACTTATACTAAGAACAACATCCTGTAAATACAGACATCACTACAATGCGGGCCCTCGCACCAGTGTCACAGAAGCAGTGGCAGGCTTGGAGGCAAAGGGCACCCTGGGCATCGCGCGAGCAAACAGTGTCTTTGGATTATGGTCCGTGGGCAGGATAATCAATATATTTCTAGCTGTTGTCAAGTCTTATATAGTACACAATTAGTGATTTTGTCGCTCACTAGGAAACTTTCATTGCATTTGCCCCACGTCTCAGCTCCAGGAGGGTTCCCCCTCACCAGCAGATACACAGTAAAAACGCTCCAATTTCCCAACAGCTGCAGTTGACTAGAATGCTTATACTATCTCGTAATCGAAGTGTTGTTCTGGGTGCACTCACTGAGTTCAATCCTTGTGCTGTGCCAGCTGAGTTGCTGTGCAACGATGCATTGCTGTACGCTTTGTCCTTGTGGGAAGCACAGTTTTATATGAAGCAACTAATCATGGGGGCTTGGGTCCTTGCTAGTGAAGCATATTGTGGCGACGTCTTCTTTTAGAGTAGGGAATAGGCTCCTAAGGCAATGTGCACGGCCCTGGTGACACTTCAAGTGGACATTTGTTATTGGGTCAACGTTTGGGATCACAGCCTACGGTGACCGGGTCTGCTGGTCTGGTCTACGTCCTCTCCGTGCAACCGTTGTAGCGCGGAAGGCTAGCACTGCATCATCTCTTATTGCATATGTCGCTACTGACAGCGTTGCGACTGCGTGCGCAATGAGTTGATCCATGGCTCACGTGCTGCAGACCATGGTGGTGGGGACGGGTTCCTTGCATATCCTGCTTCGACACTTTTTCGTTCAACACATAGAGTTGTGTCCAAAAAGGTTGCGCTCTTGTGCACAATTCAGCTAGCCAGCTAACCACACGGCGGAAGGCGTATGACCTTGCTCACCAACACCCGCACCAACCAGAGTGCACCGCAGCATCCTTCGCTCCTTTTGCTCTCAACCCCGCTTCATTGAGATTAAGAGGTCTAGTCGACTCCCTCAGACTAAACAGGCTGTGAGTCAGGAGAGCCGCTGCCCTGTTTATCTGACGTTCAGGTTCACATCACTTTCCCTTCGTTCCGGTTTGGACCCGTGCAGTGTCCTACGCTGCGACCATGGTCCCACGGCACAGCATACCGGCGCTGTGAGCTCGGCAAGAACAAAAAGAGATCTACTGCCACCGTGCTTCGAACGCATCTAAATATTTCAGGATGCTGCAGTGTAGTGTACCCCCTGTCAGCACCACATCCAGCCGCACCTCCGCGCCCATGTAAGTATTAGTAGCTCACGGGGGCCACATTCCTAGCGGGCCGCGGGGATCCCGTGTATGTATGACGCTCGATGGGAATATCCCCCAGCCAACCTCCAAGGACCCAAATTGAGGAATGGAAACCTGACTGTGCTGTGCACGATAACCAACCACAGCAGCGGTACCACTCGGGTGCTGAAACTCGGCTCTGGGTTCTGTGCGCTAACGTGCGGTGGACCTCATGACGCCGCCAGGAGGAAGAGGGGGATCATCGCGGCTGTCGGAGGAGGAGGCGATGAGGATCCAACGAGCGAGGCATGCAGCTGACGGGATACCTGCCTCTAGCATGTTCGGACGCTCTCCAAATGGGTTCTTCCCTACCAACCCATCTATTAACTGGGCCAGCTCTCGCCTGCATGGCAAAGCGCTGTAATGATCGCCTCACTCATCACTATTGTTCCCCGAGTCTCCCCACTGGATGGACTCGAAATCGTTTCTGCTAGAGAAATGAAACGTCAGCGGGCCATGTCCGCGACGGGTGGAAGGGGCCACATTTGGAGCCAAAGAAGAAAAGGGAGTCCGAGTTCAGGACCCTGTAGATTTCCTTCCGCTGAGCTATCTCGTTCTGTTGCACACATTCCGGAGTGTCCAGCGGAGAGTTGAACAAGCGATGCTCTTCGCCACGCCTATTCCAGAGCTGTACGGCAGCTTCATTGCATCCTTCGACGCCGTACCGGCATCAGGGCTCATGAGCCCCCATGGAATGAATTGCTTTTGGAGGTATCGCTGTTCGCGTCAGAAGAAAAACCACTCCATTTGCGTATCGTTCTCCAAAGTTTGTGCATAGCTGCAAAGGGGATTTTCGTCTCATTAGCTGGATATCTGGGGTAAGAATCAATGTCATAAATGAAGTCAGAGGTGCCGATGGGATGCATCGACATCGGCATCGGATTTAGCTGGTCAGCGCCACCGACTTTAGGCCATTAGCGACATCAACAACAAACAGTTTTCAGTCTGCGGAGAGATAGTGTTGATAAGGAATGTCGTCCAAGCAGCATCCCCGCATCACGCACGGTTTAGTGGAATCGCGCCAGATTGGTATGGGCGCGTGCACCAATCTTACGGAGATTTGTACGATGTGTGCGCTTTCCTGTGTTTGTAAAGTTCCCTGACGTTATCGTTTCGGCAACTTCATGGGTGTTATTGCAAAACACCAGTATGCACTAGAGGCCTGAACCGAGCCTTTGTGCTTACGTTCTTTCACGTGGACTAGTCACTTGCTGAGATTCTTGCTTGCTGTTAGCCTTACCGGTGTTACTCTGCTACTGCTTTTGTGAAATAATAAGCGTCTCTTAAATCCGTCCTTCATCCAAGACGCACCCTTTGGGTGTGTGCAACGTCGGTCCTCTGGAGCATTGCAGTAGCGTTGTCCTGGAGACGATTAGGCACTTCATCCCAGAAACGTCTGAGTTACTGACTAGGGCCTGCGCTACGCCAGGCCAGTTGTCTCGAGCGGGTCCCGGGGCAGGCGGGAACCCGGATGGAGGGCCAAATTGCGGCAGTGTGTCAGAACATTGAAACCCTTTTGCAGCAGCTTCAAAATGAAGGCACCCTCGACGAGCAATTCCAACAGTTGATGCAGTTGCAGGACGACACCAATCCGGACTTCGTCGCGGAAGTAGTCCAGCTTTATTTTGAGGATTCAGTACAGAAAATAGAGCGCATGGGAGCTATGCTCAGTAGTTCAGCACCAGATTTTAAGGAGCTCGACCAGCTGGTGCATCAGTTTAAAGGCAGCAGCGCAAGCCTGGGCGCGGCAACAATAGCTCAGCTCTGCATCAAGATGCGCGAAGGCTGCCAGACGCAAAATCAGCAGATGTGTCTCGCGTTGCTCGGCCAGTTACGAGACTCTTACATGTTGGTGAGCAGGGCGTGATCGGGTAATATAACTCGGTGGGCGTGAAGCGAACGAGCTTAAATTGCCCGGCATAGGAGTGCATGTGCAGCGATAGCGGGATGCCAGCCCGGGAACTTCGCGCCATCTCTTGCAGCCTCAACCCCCCTCCCGACCTGTTAACATTTTAGCGGCAGACGCCTGGTTGGGCAGATGCGCTGGTATGTCCTTTTTACGCTCGTCTTCAGTGGTATAAGTGTTGTAGCGACGGGTGTTTGTGCAGGGTGACCTGCATATTTCCCCGTCGTTTAGAGCTGCTCCACTCCCTCTTCTTCTTCCACCTCCCTCGGGCCCCGGCAGTTGAAGAGCAAGCTGGGCACCTTCATGGCTTTGGAGCAACAGCGGAAAAAGCTGCAAGCGGACCTGGGGGGATGAGGGGGGAGGCGTTCTCCCGCCTCCGCCTCTGCGCCTCCTATACCGCGGGCGCACGTAGGTGGTGTCGGAATGGACACATCGGCACCGGGTGGTAGAGCAGTCGGTGTGGTCGCATGTTTGTGAATGTATGTATGTATGTAAATTGTATTTGGGTTGCATGTGCAAGCGTGCGAGTGAGTTATTGTGTTAAAGGGAAACAACATCTTGGATGTACGTATGTATGTGCACATGTGCGCGCACTTGTACGTGTATGCGTGTATGTATCTATGTATGTATGTATGTATGTATGTGTGTGTGAAGTGTGCAACCTGGAAGAGGCAACCCATGTGTATGTAAGCGTTCGTCTGTAGGTATGTATGTCCTTTTGTTTTCCGAACACGTGGATGTACCCGTACCCGCACCCGTCCCATGCCGCCTCGTTTGCGTTATTGGAGGCGCAGGTGACTTAGGCGGGGCGGTGCGAGTTGGGGGGAAAAGTCACTCTAAAGCTTTTTGCGGGTTAGTGGGGAGTTAGTGGGGAGTAATCCTTACGCCGTCCCGTCGCCCCCCCCCTCCGAGGGGGTGTCCACTAGATGTGGAGGTTCTTCGAACTGTCTTTCCGGTAGTGGGCCCTATGGCTCACCGGACTGTGGGGGAGCCGGGGGCCCGGGAGGCAAGTACGTAAGTACGTGGTATACGACATCCTGTGTAATCTTGCATGTTGTCGTACACGCCCAGCGCAGCAGCGCCCGCGAATAAGAAAGGAAAGTCCTGCTGCGGAGGGTGACACGATGTGGGGACCACGGCTCCCGGGGAGTGGGATTTCTATGGGACGGGGTCCCTTCCCCCGTCTGTATCTATTGAGGCGCAAAGTGGAGAGTTGGATTGCGTTGATTGTGCTTTTTCATAACTAGACACTCTCTGTCTTACACACACACACACACACACACACCCGCTTAATGCCCAGTCATGGTCGGAGGGGTGAGGGGAGTTGCGCGGCTCCTTCAATCCAGTTGGGTTGGGGCCCCAACGTGCGAATGCGCCACATGCCATCTGGGTCGCGTCGGGGCCTCTGCCGCCCCGTGTGTGGGTTCTTCTGGGGTCTCCTCTCTCTGAGTCCAATTTCTGTCTCCCCTCAATCCGGGAAGGTCTGGCGGAGCGCTAATTAGGTTGTGGTGGTCTAGTACGGCTGGGCCAGGGGGTGCGGCAAGTGCGGTCCCGGATGATTCTCCTCTCGGGGTCCCCAAACCGGGGTCACCACTACCGCTGTCAGGGGCCGCCAGCACGGTAACCTCCTTCCCACCGACGTTGTGGTTTGGTTCGTGTGTGTTTTGTGTACGGCAGGCGTGATGGTAGTTGTGGCAGTTGTAGGTCCTGGGCTCTCCGTCGGTGCATGGTGCATCTTGCTTTGGTTGCTCTCTGCGTCACCACCCTGCTTTGTACGACAAGCGTGGTAGCCAGTCTCTGTTGGGTTTGGCGGCTGGGTGAAGGGCCGGTGATGAGAAGGGGGCCGATGGCAGGTGCTGGAGCTAGGCGTGCGGAGTATCGCGAGGAGTTAAGGGGAGTGTGGGAGGCGCCTCTCGCACATGTGTAATGTAGTGTATGTCGTTAGTGGCTATGAGGGGGCGGGTGGCAGTGCACTTGTCGGTTGACGGTTGCACCGTTGCAGGTCCGCAGTACCGTTGCGTGTTAGTTAGTGAAGGACATAAAGAACGAGAACGAGGGGGTTGCGTGTGTCCGGGAGAAAGGGGGGGGGAGAGAAAGTGAGTTCGGAGGGATGTACGGACAGTGAGCGGTGGTTGCTTCAGCGGTGCACGGCTCCCGCGACATGGAATGGCTGGGCTCGGCTGGGGAGCAACAGCAGCAGCAGCGGCCTGCATCAAGGCTGTTGCTGTGGCCGGCGGTTGGTTTGCTGTCTGGGCCAGCGCGGAGTTGTGCTTCGTTGGGCTGGGCCGCCATCTGGCTGTCGGCACAGGCGGCCAGTTTGTGTTCTTTGGATAAACGTCGTATTTTCGTACGGCACCTGTTGAGGACCACGGCGGCGGTGGTGGTGCTCCGAGGGCGAAAGACTCGCAGCGCAGTCTTGCGCTGGTCACTAGCGCAGGCAGGAGAGGCTCACGAGCGCATTGTTCGTGGGTTTGTCCGTATCGTGGTGATGGTGATCGTGGCGGTGATCGTGGTGGTGTTCATCCGTTGCGTGTAACAGTCCGTGGCTAATAACATTAATATTGTTGTATGTCTGGTAAAAGTTGGCGTGTGAACAGAGCATTTGTGGTGTGGGGGGACTGTGAGTTTAGCAGTAACAGGTGGTTGGGCACGGTGTATGGCTGCTGTTTGCTTTTGCCTTGCTTTTTGGTATTTTGTTTTGGGCCCTACAAGTGCGAGGGAAGTGCAATTGTTCCGTATGTTATTCAGTCTCTTATAAGCGTGTAATCAAGGAAAGACAATTGGCGGTGGTGGTTGGGAACGGTTGTGGCTTGTTAGGAGAGTTAACAGTTGCGCTGTCGGCAAGCGCGCCTGCAGACCACAGCCTCTTCACCCCTTGGGCGGTGGCGTGTTGTGGAACACTGTTAGGCAAACAGAGGAAAACTGTTTGCACAAATAAGAGGTTGGCACTGGCAACTATTATATGATCATTACACAATGTGCAAGGACTTGTAAATATCTCTTGATTAGTCCAGGGTCCTCTCCTGCCGACCACCAGTGACAAGTAAGATGATAGCAACATCATGCCATTCTAAAAAAACAGGTGAGAATGAGAATATTATATATGGTATTCCCCAAATGGAGCTACGTTATCCGATGTAGCCCGCTAAATTCGGAATGGCCTTCTAACATGAAGAATTTCCGGATGATGACGCCGTAAGCATATGTACCAAGGCCGGTGCAAAAAAGCAGGGCCGACTGCATGAGGACATGCGTAACAGTGCGAGGGGTTTACATTTTGCACGACCATGATTTTTGGGGACCCTGCATGCAACTCGCACGTACACAAAAGTGTCCGAAAGAACTGTAAAAATGGAGAGTGAAGGGTAAGATAGAAACGAACGATTGATTTTTAGGCTCGCTTTCCGCACAGCCTTTGGTCCGCTACACCTGCTCCTAAACGGAGTATTGCTATCAACCGATTATCAAATAGGCCATCATCCATGAAAAGTACCTCCCCGCGTCACCAGCACTGCGACAGACATATGCTATGAGTGCGCGATGCCGTTACTATCACAGACATTACTCATCTTGTATGCAGCAGGGCAATTTACCCTACCAGAGCAATTTACGCTCCTCATACAACCGGCCAGTTCACCCTCCCGCACATGGTAAAACCTAGAATGCAGATTTATATATACATATATAATAATCATAACCGAGGAAGCTTCAAATCGCCTGCCACCCGACATGACAGCGCTGGGAGCAACGTTTACACAGGAGAGTTTGAACAATACGCGAGCTCCGTTTCGAATGGAAGCAGCCGCTCTCCCTGACGAGCTTGCGTGTGTGACGATCTGCGACCTGTTGCACACGCCACCTACCTTTATATGAAGAGCCGAGAGCGCGGGTGCAGGCGCCCAGCGCAAGCGACCAAAATTTTGCCACGGTTAACTGATCGGTCAGCAGTGCGTTGCAACAATCACCAATCAGAACTCCATCCCGGTCCTCTGCAAATCCTACGCTATAACTAATCTCAGACCCCCTGTTCCTTTACAAGGACGGAGCACCCGGGCCGCCGGACAGCAGCACCGCACAGGCACTCATGCAAGGAGAAGAGCGGCTGGTGCGGTGCGGTGCGTCGCTCGGGCGCCACACGTCTCTCGCCTCGAATCCCGGAGCGCAGAGCACACTACTACTGACAAATAAACCTTAATGCGCGGTAGAAATGCATTTAGCTAAATACGCGGGCTGGTCGGCTGCCATCACAGGCCGCAGTGACGCTCTCCCTACCCCACACAAACGGGAACGGAACCACTGCGCTCTACTGTATGCGGGGGGATAGCGCGAACTCGAGTACCTTCTCATCCCCCATGCTTGGATGCTTTATGCGTGGCAATGCCCGCATATGCCCATGCCCATGCCCATGCCATGGCCATGCCCTTATGCCGAATTACCACCACAACCATTATCAGTACCAATTTCACAGTCAGGCATGTTGCAACTAGACGAAAAAAGCGAACAGATCGCTACCAGCGACTGCGCCGTTACCGAACCGGCGAGAGCGCAAGGCGCACCGATAGGCTCACCGTGTGGTACGCAGCAGAGGCCCATTGCATCACACAACAAACGCTCGGCGAATGGCCCTGCTACCTCCACCGCTGCTCGGCTGTTCCTAACCCCCAAGCATCTGTAAACACACGTCAAAACACGCAAAAGGCTTCAGCAACGCTATTTCAAAGCCTTGGGAGCTGGCGCTCTTTGTTAATAGCCAGGACTAAACGTTTCGGCCAAAACCCGCACAGGGCCAAAACCCTCCTCCTTGTGCTCCGCCCGATTACACTCCCGACGCTATGGGGGTTTAATCTGGGCAAGAAACACACGGCAGTCCCCACAGATGCCTGGTACCTACGCTCCAACCACACAGTACGCAACACCGAACATTCGTACTTCTTATGCACAAGCGTCAAGTCTTGGCGAGCCTCCTTGCCTAGCTTTCTTGCCCAGCAAGCAATGCAACACACTTTCCGGGTAACACACATGCGCACACACAATATAGGTCCCGATAGAGTTGGAGGTACGGTACCGGCGTCCGTCCCCCTCTCCCCATCTTTCTCTAGCTCGATGGTAGTTGATGCTTTTTGCCTTTCCACAACAGGCTGGCCATGCACGGCTGAGAGCTCATGATTATTCTCGTGCTATGGATGAAGACCTAGTATGGCCATGCCAATCATGCATCTCGCCACCTGCCCCTCTGCCTCTACGTAGTCGTGGACATCACTGTAGAACACACGTGCTCCCCACCTGTGGAGCACTGGTGCTACTGGTGCTGCTGGTGGTGCTGCTGGTGGTGCTGCTGCTACGAATATTTTAGCCTAAATGCTGCTGCTATTGCTGCTGCTGTTGCTGCTGCTGTTGCTGTTGCTGCTGCTGTTGCTGCTGCTGCTGCTGTTGCTGCTGCTGCTGCTGTTGTTGCTATTGTTGTTGCTGCTGCTGCTGTTGCTGTTCCTGCTGCATCACGTTGAACCGGGACACCTCGTGCTGGATCATGGCGGCAATGGCCTCCGCTTCGGCGGTGTTCAGCGACAGGTTCTCCACCATTTCCACGGCAATTGCGCTGGCGGTGTCGTGCAGCAAGTCATACTGGAAGCCCACCTTCTTGCGCACGCCTGCGGTGGTAGCATCGGTATCGACATCAACAGCTATTATCAACAGCAGCAGCAGGAGCAGCAGTGGCGAGAGGTCGGACGTGGGCCTATAATCGGTCGAATCGCTTCATAGGCCGCAGCACAATCATCGCTCGAACCAGTACATTACTGTGAAAACAAATTCTCCCCGCTGCTTCCTAGTCCTCCCTTCCCCCTCAAAGAAATTGCCCTCTCCACGGTACACCACATCCATCAGCCTGCCAACCAGCACAGTGTGCCACGGTTTTCAGAAGCCACACTTCATTCCAGCGCATTCTGCAAAGCCCCCCGCCGTCCCTCTCTCCCTCCATCCCTGGCTGCCACCTACCTCGCTGGTTTGTGAAGGACATGGCGAACGACAGGGCCATGTTGGCCACCGCCGCCTGGCCGGAGGAGCGCACCTTGAGGCTGACGGGTTGGCTGCGGCAACCGCCAACGACGGCCGACGGAGCGGTGGAGCCCTCCGCACACCCGCAACCCTCCCCGTCCTCACTTCCGTCCTCCTCCTCCTCCTCTTCTTCCTCCTCACGATCATCATCATCGTCCGAGGCACCACAGCACGCATTCCGGCGGCCTTCGAGGGTCGAGACCATCAGTCATGCACGCCGGAACAGGCAGTGGGCGACTCAACGTGTGCAGGTAAGTGTTGCGCGGGCGGGGCAAGCGGGAGGGGCGTTTGAAAGCCCCAGGAGCCCAAAGCCTTGCTGCGCCCTGCAGGTCTTAACGCGCTTCGGCCATTTGGATACGGGTTGGGCCCCTCAAGACGAAAGATATGAGGTGGCCGCCATGCCGAACATATACAAAGTGCAGATGCCAGATTGCTGCGTCCTGAGTTTCTGGATTATGGTGTGAGCATTCGTCGTGTTCATGTATACAAACATGTCTGATGGTGCGCGAACGCGATTCCAGCAATTTCAAACGTCGCATGATCGAGCCCCGGCAGAGTTCTGAACTTTTTTCCAATGCCAAGTACTAGGCAAGGAGCCGGCAAGGATTATGTATGCCACTATAAAATAATTCTGAAACATAGGCTCAGTAGTTCAACCAACAGCCCCTTCCGCCATTGAAACGTACCCCAGTCTTCGTGGTCAAACATCATGTCCTCATCCAGCTCATGATCTTCATGAATGGCAGGGAGGCCCAGCGGTGATGGGAGCGGTTGGCCGTTGGCAGCGCCCACAGCGGCGGCGGCGGCACTGACGGCTGCCGCAGCGATGGCCGCCGCCGAGGGTGACACACCTCCCAACGTCAGCTGCAGCCTACGGTGGCGGTGGCAGAAGCCATGGCAAGAGCGGAGGCGGCGGAAGCGGTCAAGACTGAAAACCTGAAAAAAACCGCGTATTTAATCCAAGATATCCCGTGCATCTTTTGAATGCCCCAATTCTACCAGTGGCATTGCCAGCTGGCTGCTCATCATCAGCATTCCAGATGCAGGGGGGGGACAGAGCATTGCACGGCCTCAACATCACCACGCAACCGCCCACCGTCCGTCTGCCGACCTCGCTGCGCAGCCGTTGCCCTCGTCCCCCGGGACGCCACATCGGCCAGCAGCAGCATCGGGTTCTGTCGGTGATGCCATCGCTGCCGATGATGCAGCACACTCCGTCAGCCCTGCTGCTGCTACCCGCGGACTCGGCGCGCCTCCGCACGCCGGCGATCGGGGCGACACCAGCTCCCCCGCTGAAGCCAACGTAGGCGAGACGGGCCCGCTGATACCGCCGCTACCCCCGCCGCCGCCGGTAATTCCCCCGGCAGCGTTGCACGACGGCAGCACGAGGGGGTTGTTGTTGCTGCTGCTGTTGCTGCTGCTGCTGCTGCTGCTGCCGCCGCCGTCCCCGCCACAGGAGCCCCGTGCCGCGCCTAAGGGTCCCAGGGCAGCTCCCGGAGATGGCGCCGCAGTTCCAGACCCCACTCCTGTCGCAAATGCCCCGCTCATCGTGACTGGTCCTGTCGGGTGACCCAGCGAGGAGGCGATGCTTCCGGGCCCGCCCAGATCCAGCGGTGACACGCTCAGCTGACCGTCTACGCTGAGGACGCAAGGCGATCGTGCGGCCGCGGCCATCGCCGCGGCGCTGGGTGCAATGCCGCTCGCAATGGTCACCGACTGTGCGGGCATTGGCATTGGCATTGGCATAGACGTCGCCGCCGCGATGCGACCACTACTACCGAAATCATGGTGACCCATGCCGTATGTTCCGTCGAGCGCAGCCGCGGCGATGGGAGAGAGCACACGAGGTGACAGCGACGCCGCGATTGGTCCCAACGGCAATTGCAAATGCAGCTGTGGAAAAGACCGCGACATTTCCACAGAACCGGAACGTGCGTTCAGCAAAGGGCTTATCGCCCCCGCTGCCATTGCACCACCGTCGGCCCCAAACGCCGCGGCTGCGACAATGCCGTCCATGGCGGCGCCGCCGGAACTTCCAGCGCCGTTCTGGCTGGTGCTATTTGAGCTCGCGGCGCGGCTGAGCGCGGTCGGGCTCAACCCTTCGCCGACACCGGCAGCCGCCGCCGCCGCCTCCACCACCCCAGGCGGCGCCGACGCCGAACCCGTCAGGGCCCCGGGCCGCCCCACCCCTCCGGTGGGCGACAGGCTCAGGGACGTTGCAACCGTATTTATCTTGGGCGACGTTCCGCAGGTGCTAGCGTGCGGCGGCGGCGCACTGCGGATTGCCTCGAAGAAGGGATGCTTGAGCAGCTGCCGAGCTTCCGGGCGGCGACTCGGGTCGTGGCAGAGGCACAGCATCACGAAGTCGCGCAGCTCGGTGGAGGTCAACTTATCTACGGATGCTGGCGGGATGCCCTGCAGGCGGAGGAGAAAAGTAAGGGTACGGCGAGTACGGCACCGGTAAGGGGCACACATGTCCGGGTTCTGTCGACACGCAGCCACATGCGCGAGTTCGGAGAGATGCCGCAAGATAGACCACACCTTGGATAGGACCTGAAGGGCTATCCAGCCGCGAGTTTCACCACACACAGACATCAGAAAGGCGGTCTTTGATTTTTGCATCTTGTGTACTTTACGCATCTTATTGGATACAGGCATGTATGTGTGTGTATGTATGTATGTGTGTATGTATGTATGTATGTATGATGTGTGAAACAGGGGGGTGTATCTTCGCCCGTGGCAGCTACCCTGCGAAACCCTGCCTTCCCCGGTATTTCGGGGCACCCTTATCCAGTCACCCTGGTCAACTTCTCAGTGGATCGCTCAGGTTCCGCACCCACCACCAGCATCCAACGGAATCTGCCGGGTCGACAGCGGCCCAACTCCATTCCTGGTCGGCTCGCAGGTTAACTTTATCCCAGGTCACCCCGTCCATCAACTAGGGGCGCTATGCCTTCCAGCATCGGAAGGACTTTGACCCTAAAGGGTATCGATCCCGGGATCTCCCGGGGGCAATGGTCGCGCCTTACCAGTAGTGCCAAACCCTATATATGTATGTATGTGAGTTAGTAAACGGACAACGATTGTGCGGTGCAACAAGTGCTGTGACATTTCTTCGGAGTGAAGGTAATCCACCCCGTTGGCGGGCGCGGCGGTCTCAGGGCACGTACTTGCGTGACCTTCTTGTAGATCTGCGCCGCGTTTTTGCACTCGCAGTAGGGATACTCCATGGTGGCCAGCTCCAGCAGACACATGCCGAACGCGTAGACATCCACCTTCTCGTCATACTTCTCTTCGTACAGCTCCTGCGTGCGACGGTTCGGTTTGGAACGGATGGATAGAAAACGGTTTTCAAGATAACCAGGTGCTGCAAGTGTTGCCGGTCGGGGTTGCCCAGAGGAAGCTTCCTCGCGGCCGGAACAGCCCCATCTTCAGTCAGGGGTCCACACGCACCCCTAGCACCACCCCAGCTGCAAGTGCGCACATCCAAGGAAGGTAAGGCCCACCCAGCCCATGGCAAGTGGTCCCCTTCCACCGAAATAGCTGAACGGGCTTTTACGGAACGACTGGTCGAACACAGTGTTGTGAGCTTGGAGAGCTTGGATGACGCAGCGGTGTGTAGGAGGAGGAAAGGACCCCCTGCTACTGCCCACTTATACCCACCGGCGCCATGAACTCCGGGGTGCCCAGCACGCTCTGCGGTGCGGAGAAGTCCCGACAGAGCGTCACGAGGCCCAGATCGCCAATCTTGACAACACCCGAGCTGCCACACACAAAGATGTTGTCGCACTTGAGGTCGCGATGGATGATGGGCGGGTTGTGGCCGTGCAAATACACCAGGCCCTACACGGGCGTCATCCGCGCCGCCAGAGTCATCAAACCGAATATGGGGATATCACGAGCGGAGCAGGGCACAGACACGCGCACAGATGGGGCTTGTGGGCATGGGACGAAGGACACAGGATGCGGAGCAGGGATGTGGTAACAACACCGCGCTGCCCTGCAGCAACAGCACACGATGCCGGGGCCCGGATCGTCCTCTGCCGAAGTGGGCCTACGGCTCTCACAAGCCCATAGTGCATCTCTGGCGAGATGCGATGCGCGTGGTCCATGTCTGAACCAGCTGAGCAAAGGTTTGCCAGTCTGGACGCAGGTACATCACGCAGTGCGCACGGGGCTGACATCCAACGCACCGGGAATGGAAGCCCGGAAGGCTATGCGTTGCCCCAACAATCCAAAGAAGGCACCGGACCAGAAACCTGCCGTGTTACTTCGTGCCCTAGAGCCGCTGTACCTCCCCAGGGCCCTTTGTTGGTCGTCGCGCCGCTTAGGTCCGCGAGCCATGTGGCCGAAACCAAAGTTCAAACGCGGCGGCTCTGGCCCTACCTGCAGGATTTGCCAGGCCCATCGCTTCATGGCTGGCAAGTCCGCGTGCTTGTGGCGGCGGCGGTACCTGAGCGCGGGTCAAGGGGCATCTCTGACCGACAAGACACGCTACCTGGGTCAGAGAGGTGAGTGAGAAACATCATCCAAGAGCAAGAGCAGCTTCCAAAGATGTAAACCCTATGCCGAGTGCGGGGCAAATCCTTTCATGATGATTCCGGAAAAGTTTTCCGTTAGTCTCCATACAATGTTCCAATGTGCCCGATACGCAAAGTTTGGACTCCTCACCGCAGGGGAGACTCCCTTATTCAAACTTCAGACCGCCCTAACCCCAGCAGACCCCCGCCCACAAGCCAGGTTCCTCACCCTGGCCCAATACTCACTGGCGCAGCGTCCCGTCGGGAAAGATCTCCGTGATAAACACCAACATGAACCGTTGCTCGTCAAACCAGTAGTCGTGCAGCGTCATGATGTTCTTGTGTTTCAGCTGTTTCAGCACGCGGATCTCTGCGAATACGCGCTGCTGATCTTTCTCCCGAAAGCACGCAAGCTCGGCGACGGCCACCTCGTTCCAGGCAACCTGCACGGGGAACAGATGGGTGAGTGGGTCCCGGAGCCGGGTCCCGGAGCCGATGGACGAGAGAGCGGGTCGGGCCTTTGCGGTGACCCAGATCGGGTGACGGTGACGCGACCCAGATCAGTAATGTACACACAACAGGTAGCGGGTGTGGCCGGTATTCATTCAACCCAGATCAATGGCAGGAAATTAGGTTTGGGGCAACCTGCATTGAGGTGTGATGTGCTTGAGCTGCTCCCTCCGGTTGCCTAGCATGCTTTGCTCTGGCTTTCGCCAGTTTCGGCAAGGCCGCCTAAACCTTATCTTGAAGCAGCAAGTCCGTAAATCTTCGCAAGGGCGTACCCAGTGCACTGGGGTGCCCGATGACCAGCTTCATGTTACCGACAGTTTGGCCTCCATGTTCCCGTTTCTACGTTTCCTAATCAGCGCACCATATCACGTCCCTCAGCTCCCACCTCTATACCACGCTCCTCGTCGAAAGCTCTGTACACTTCCTTCTGTGCCCCTTGGCCGATGAGCTCATACTGCGAGGGGTGAAATCACACACTGCTGCTTACGAAGTGCGTTTTGAACAGTAACGCACGGCCGTGACAGGGCTGTGGCAACGCACGGCTGGAACCGAATTGAAATCCAACAAGCATAGGACGGCGTAACGAAGCCCGTACAGCATAAGTACTTCCGGATGGCCAGGGGATTTCCGGATGGCCAGGGGAAACGGAAGATGCCGTACACAGTGCTCACACAAAACCCTAAGACACAGAATTCCGGAAGTGGTGGCAGTATAAGGTTCATTCGTGAATGCAGAGCCAGGCTGGCTGTTACGCGCTGCTAAACGCCAACAGCTCTCGGTTGATATGACCACGGGGAATTGCACCATATGCGTATGATCACCGAGGCAAACCTCCATCAAATCGCTCGTGGCGCTCTGAAAACAATATATACAGGCGAAGCGGTAAGGCGCCGTTGGTGTTCTTCAGCAGGCGCACATCCGGTATGCACGTGCGCACGCTCCAACCGCGACCTCCGTTAACTTAAAGATCTGAGCCTCTACATAGCATACCTTCCTATAACGTTTCGATGCCATGCGAGAATTACTTCCACCGAGTGATCCTGATGGGACTACCGCCTGAAGCGCTGCCGGCAGAGCAGTTGCTGCGGCGACTGCCATGACTATGGTGCTTGGCCTTAGCACTGCAGCTATAGGTTGAAATTATAAATTGCAATTATGTGAATTAAAGGGCCTTCCGAATTTGACATCGCAAACGCTGTAAGAGCAATATGCATACAATTAGCATTTTTTAAACAAGAAAAGAGGTTACTTTTTAAGTGTGGTCTCAACTTTCATGAATCAGGCGTGCAGGGAAAGTCGTACAACCGCTTTTCCTGCGGGTCATTGCCACCCTTAGAATCTCTCTCTCTTTCACAGGGTTCTACCGTGCGCATGTTATATTCTTTGGATCAAGCTGGTATGCGAAGCAGCATCTTATATGAAGTTAGGGTTTGTATATGTATTTGGCCATACTTGTGACTGGATTTCGCCTCGAAAGGGAATGCTCTGCGCGCAAACTTGCATCAATAGGCTAGAAACGAATGAATTAAGTCATCGCAGCTTGTTTGGGAACTTGATTTCCATGGAACATCACGTATCTTGCACGTTGAAACCGGGTTGCGCCCTTTAGGAGGGTTTTCTGTTGTCACGACATAGGAGGGGGTTATCGGACTGTCTATTGGTCATTGTCTGTATTGGTCATTGACGCAGGACTTTCAATATGCACGGCGGGAACAATCGATTTACGAAAGGCTTGCAAGATTAGACACACCCCGCGCGCCTGCAAAACGCAAGCAATCCCAGCCAGCGACTTGGTCCATTCACCACCGCCCCGTCAGGTGATGTACCTGACCACATTGCACCATGCAGGAGGAAAAACGTGAGTCCGACGCTAAGTGGGTGCGTTCTGGTCCTCACATCATGATCTGTCAGAACCGCCAGACGCGCCGACCAAAGTTGAAAAAGTCAAGACACACACTTTGTCGTGACAACAACCGAAGTCAAAACAATCCACACCATGAACAATAACAATGAACTGAACAGCAGACGCGTCCAGTCGCTGATTAACTAACTCAGCAGACCGCTTCACGTCGCACATAACCTATATCCATAGCACGTGGAAAGACACGAAGCGCCACCAACGCCCTAAACAAATGCTTCTGCATGGTGCGCGTACACCGCCCACGACAGAGAGCATATGTGTGCTGCATGTCGCCCACTACCGCCCACGACATACACAATACACGACACAGCTGCAGTAAAATCCAAACCACATCACTTCAGCAGTCACCCTTAATAATGATCCCGGTATCAAGTACACCCCCAACCCTTGCCCTATCTTGATGACATGCCGCCGCTGCACACGGCACGACATGCACGCCCCAAAGTCCGTTAATGGCTGCGCACGAGCAGAGCTCACGTGCTGGGAGGGAAAAAGCCGGCCCACATCCGTATATGCACAAAGAAGGGCCAGCATCCCCCCATTCACACTCCGGCCACGGCATCGTGGCCCTGGCCAACCACCGCGCCACACCCAACCTCGCAGTATACATGGCCCGAGGCTCTTACCCCGTGTCGTGTTCCCCCAAGCAATACTTTTGGGCAAGTATATGCGTTAGGACCTGCACTAACTGGTCTGGATGCAGCCTGTCATCAGCTCCTGCTGTTGTGCAGCCCGACGCCTAATACTCACGTTATTCACTCTACTACAACATACTCTACAACTGATCCTGCTGCGTACGAGCCCTCCGTCCTGCGATGTAACACTAAGCTTCACTGCACCATGCCATTCTGATGTCCCGTAGCAAGAAACGACGTTTTGCGCGAGGGAGGTTGGCTCTCCATATCCACCTCCTCCTGTGCTGCCTTCATAGCGGCGATGAGCTCGTGTATCGACAAACCCTTTAATGAGCCGCCGCCGTTAGCACCCGCCGCCTCCTCACCTGCTGGAGTGTGATACCCCGATTTCCCTGTTCGCCCGTTGGCGAGCCCAGACACAGAACCCCGTCTAGCATCTGACACCGCCGCTGAAGGTTGCGGCAGCGGTGGCTTGGCGATGGGCTCAGGGCCCCGCGCGCTGGCTGCTGCGGAGTACGATGCCACCGGCGGTGAGCAAGCAGGTGCCGATGCAATGGCGTTCGCAGACTGCATAGGCGACGCGCCTTCTGCGGCCAAAAGGACTGACTGTTCCACGCTCGACACAGGCGATGGCGCCAGAGAGGTTGGCGGCGCCGGAGGGATCGGTGCGGAAGCTGCCTTCGGCGACGACACCCGCGAGCCTGACATAGGCATGGCGGGCGTGCTCTGACTTTGCGCAGACACCGTTCGCTGGATCTCCTCCCGGATCTTTGCCGCAATTTGCTGCGCCTCTGCCGCCGACAGCGACAAGTCCTCCATCATCTCGTTGGCAATACACTCAGCCGTATCCTCCGCCATGTCGAAGGCGAACTCAATTGTCTTGCAGTGGCCTGAATCATTCGCCAGACAGCGGGGAAGCGCGGGTTCCTCTCAACATTTGGTAGCGAGCCCGTGACCTGGCCCTGGCCGGTGTAATATGCGAATCCTCCGACTGGAATATGCCCCGGTTGCAACTGCAACTATTTCCCTGCCATCAATCTTACACCCAAATATTACGCGCTCCATGGAATAGCATGACAGCCTCCACATGGGCAGACTATGTTCCACTTACCCGCTGGCTCGGTGAAGCGCAGCTGAAAGCTGAGTTTCGACTCCTCGACCTGCTTGCAGTGCAAGTTAATTTCACGCGCCCACACCAGCCCATCGCTTTCATCGGCTTCGTCCGACACTGTCCCAGCCACGCCGCCCTGCGATTCCCGCCCGCCGTTAGCCGCTGAGCACCCCCCTGAAGCACCCAAGTCTCCAGGAGCACTCGCAGCTGACACAAAAGACTGCTGGTGATGCAGGATTGCCATTGGTAGCTCCTGTAGAACGGGCGAACGCAGGTCGACACTGGAACCTGATTGCCGTACCCCTGCCGAAGCGCAGGTATTCAATTCTACTGACGACTCCGCTTGTCGAATTCCACCGTAGTCCATTTGCAAGGGCTGTGGCAAGCCTGGCGACGGTGCATGCGCCAGCGGTGGCAATGCTGGCGATGCGGCTCGCATTGGCAGCTCCCCAGACGCCGAAAGCAGCAGTGTTTGCGGAGATGAGCCCACTGCAATGCCGGTGCCACCCTCCACCTCAGGGCCAGGGAATGACAGACCGTTCGACGTGGGCGCGGCAGGGGGGGCTGGCTCCTCATCCGAAAAGACCTCCGGGGTATTGTTCCCTGCTATCGCGGGCTCAGGGCGGTCCACCGGCACCTTGTCCGTGCCACCGCAGCTTAGCTGAGCACGTATCGATTCAAAGAACGGGTGCTTCAGGAGCTGTCGCGCCTCAGGCCGCTGGTTAGGGTCGTGCTGAATACACAGCTCAATGAACTCCCGCAGCTCCGTATTTTGTACCTTCGCCAGGCCGCTGGGGTGAATGCCCTGAACAAACCCACGCAGAGCACATAGGCATAACGCACAGAGCTTAATGTAGGACAAACCATTTCCTTGATTTCTATTCACGTTAACCGCAAACATTACAGACAATCTTTTTACCCCCTCATGGAGTCAAGAACCGTGTCCCGCGACCCACCTGCGTCACTTTTTTATAGATCTGTGCCGCATTTTTGCATTCAGCGTACGGGTACTCCATTGTCGCCAATTCGAGCAGGCACATCCTGGCGGAAGTGCATGGGCGGAAGTGATGAACGGCCCGAGAGAGGCTGGGACGTCAAGGGCAAGGGAAAGCTACATACCCGAAGCTGTACACATCCACCTTCTCGTCGTACTTCTCCTCATACAGCTCCTGCATAGTAATGTGAGAATTGTTGGTAAAACTGCTGCATCACTCAAGCACCGAAACGAGGTACATAGGGAGCTAACACTGACGGTGTGCGTAAGGGAAGCAGAAACCCACCGGCGCCATGAACTCGGGAGTGCCCAGCACGCTTTGCGGCGCCGTGAAACCCCGGCAGAGTGTGACCAAGCCCAGATCACCGATCTTGATAACGCCAGAGGTCCCATTCACGAAAATGTTATCGCACTTAAGGTCACGGTGAATTATTGGCGGGTTATGGCCATGTAAGTACACCAAACCCTGCAAGATCTGCCATGCCCAGCGCTTCAGCACCTGCTCGTCGATGTGTTTGTGTTTCTTGCGATACCTGCAGGGCACACAACAGTTACTGACTGCAACAGGCATGTCGGCGCAGCCAAGTATCCTGATCTCCCACATCAAATGGGTAACACAGGTATTGTATCGCCCCGTTACTTACTGCCGCAAGGTCCCAGACGTGAAGAGCTCAGTAATAAAATTCACGGTATTGTTCTTATTATCCAGCCACGAGTCGTAGAAGGTCATAATCTGCTCAGGGGTCAAAGAACATGCGTCATGCCATTACCAAACCCAACGTCATGTCAGATCTAGATAGGCCGCCTTACGTTCTTGTGCTTCAGCTGCTTAAGGACACGGATTTCAGCCCATAGACGCTCCCTCTCAGCCGGTGAGGACGCCAGATCATTGACCTTGATCTGATTCCATGCAACCTCGATGCCCTCCTCTGAAAAGCGAGGCCGAGGACAGGACCGATAGACATTATTAAGAGGTAAAGCCCCTTGCCAAAAATACGCCTTATATTACCAAAAATACTCTATCTCGTACTAAAACAAAAGGCGTATCCAAAGCCATAAACGCCTACTGTCATCCACAGTACCTATGCACAAACATGCCAAAGCATAAGAGCTGGCCACCGAAAACGAAGATGCGCACCTTCATTAAATGCACGAAAAACTGTCTTGAAAGCGCCCCTGCCCAACACGACGTCATACTGCAGCAAGAGGGAATGAGCTGCCCGCTTAAGATTTTGTTCATAAAAACTCCATACGGTCAGAACAAGACGCCAAAGCGAACGTAGGACTGGAAAACCACGAACAAAGTCGAATAAACGCGAGAACCTGCACCCACCCGAGAGTACGTGGTGGCGCTTGTCGAGTATGTCTCCGCTGGCTGCAGCTCCCCGCCTTCCACCATGGCCGCCATGCTGCTCCCTTTACAGCCCTAAAGGGGACACTAGGCTCTTTCACTTTGTACGCAAGTCATACTGTTCTGCCGCCTGCCGCAGCCACCCCCCTAAAGCAGCAAAAAAGGCCGTTGCCAGCCTACAAATACGTTGCCAGCCTATCACAAATTCAGCCGTGATAAGGAAGGCTGTTTAGTTTGGCGCCCGTTCAGGTTGCCCTGCAGGATATACACAAAAGTGGCGCATGCGCCAGTTAGGCAAGTGTCTCGTAGCTTCATAGGACCGAAAGCGCCCAGTTTGCGTTAACAGGAGCCAAGGTAATGAGTTCAACAAGACGTAGTCGGTACGGCCTGTACGAAATGGTGCAAGCGGTTGTGAAAGTGATTGCAGGACGATTGCTTGATCCACCAATTTCATCGGTTGGAGTCACAGATTAATGGTCCAGATGCTTAGACAAATCACGCGTGGGAATAACGATTTCCTTCTTCTTAAACTTAAGACTCAAGTGTTGAGCGGGGGCATGTCTTGGGCGTAAATGTGTGTGGAAGCAGAGACCCTTTCCTCTTTTACGCACAAATAGGGCATGCCTTGTGCGTCTCCTGTCTCCTAGAGGCTCAAGTTGGATACCTTCACCATGCTTTGACGCCGCCAGAGGGCCTGCCTCGGCTCATCTCACCTGAGTCCGTGAGGCCAAACATCTTTGCAGCAGTAGCGTGTATCGGAGGATAGCTCAACGATTGATATGGCCTTGCTGTAGGACAGTGGTATACCTCACGTGCTTTCAGGGACAACAATTCGTTAAGTCTGTATAATTCAGTCTCGGCGTTTGCTTCCTACGCACGGTTGACATGTCCCTGCCAAAACGCCAAAACGCTTACTGGCTTTCCACCGTTTCCTTAGGGTCGCGTCCTTAGGTTTCTGCTGTGAGCAGCACATACTGTGGAAAAGCTATCGTTGCTGCACAGAAGCAAATGAATCTGAAGATACCGCGATACCACAACGCACAAGGCATCCGTACAGTTCCATACCGGCTGCAGACCCGAGGCTAAATGAGCTGCCGAACCCTGACTTCACCTACATCCTTCGATGCCCCTACGACATTTAACTCGACGCGCATTGCAATACAGATCGGCACAAATCCAATGCAGGCCAACAGCCAACACTTTGCACCCAAAAAGTTCCAGGCGCTGATCCAGTAATCGCAGACAAAAGTCTTTACTAGTGGAGCCAGTGTGCAATAGCTCAATGGCAACAGACACCTGTTCACTGTTACACATTGCGAGTCCATTAACAGCTCCATACAAACACATTACAAGAAATGACGCTGCGTGCCCCCCCCCGAGAATTTAGACCCCAGGGCAGCCGCGCTCCTTAGGATGTCACCACCCGACTTGGCCTTGGGTTTAATTTCCAAGTCACGTTCCCGGTCAAACGGTCTCCAAGGCCAATCCTGGCCGTCAGCCGCCGCTGCAGCGTCCCCGCTGCCTCCACCACCCACGCCGCCGCCGCCGCCGCCGGGTTTGCCGGTTTTCTGCTTCTTCGCGGCTCTTTTTGCGGCACGCTCCTCCTCCCGGGCCTTCTCCTGCAAACATACAAGCGCCGCAACAACATAATCACGGTCCGGCTCCTGACCAGACAGATAACACGTAGCCCCACGAGCGTCCGTAAAGGTGGTAGGACAAATGGTAGCGCCCGATGAGGAACAGGACTCTATCAGCGCGGTCCAGCGCGGCTATCTCGATGCTATTAAGGTAACAGCGGGGTGGCTCACCAACGAAAATAATACCTGTTGGACTAGGCGGTTTTTTTTTATACTTAGGTCACTGTAAAAAGCCCATGCCGCCTGGCGCGCTGAGTTTGTGCGTCAATGCGCCTTGTCCATTGCCCACGCCGCATTGACGTCCCACACGGCCCACAAGGCCATTGCGCCCTTGTGGCTGCAGAGGCGGTGCAGCAACGTGATGTTATGTGATGGTGACACGTCCCAGCTGGGAACACGGCGGCTGTAGATTTACGGTGCTGCCGGCCCTGGAGTGAATCTCCGCCAGCTCCCCCTTCAGCTCCCGCCGTTACTCTTCCATCGCCGCATCATACCGCATCATACCCCACAGCGCCCTTCCCCGTCTGAAAGTCGGCATCGGGATTTCCCTTCTTCCTGACATTATTCTTTCACTTCCTAGCTGCTTCCCCTCCCACCTGCAACTCCAAATGAACCTCCATGAGGCTCTTCTTTCGAGAGTCCGCATTGAAGGAATCCATCGCAGCAGCAGCAGCAGCGCCACCACCACCACGGCCCCCGCCGCCGCCGCCGCCGCCAGCACCGTCGCTTCCCGCCGCCGGCAGCGCCTGCACGTAGGCCTGCGACGCCGCCGCCAGCAGCGCCTGCGCCTCGCGGGCCTTGCGCTGCTCGGGGTTATCGGTCCACGCTGACGTGTCCCCTCGGCCCGTCTTGCCGCGCTGGCTAAAGGCGCGAACGCTGGTCTGTCCCAACTGCCCCGCGGCGCCTCCCGGTCTCGCAGCCATTTCCGGAGGAAGCTCCGTCATCCAGGTCTCCCGCTGAGACCCGGAGGGGGCCGCGGGGCCTGCGGGGTCACCGGAGGGACCAACAACCGCCCCGTGTGTGTGTATACGAGACGTCGGCTAGCGGTGCCGTAAACAACGAGGGAGGAGCGCGAGGGATGGTGTGCGCATGCTTTCTAAAATTCTGTGAGAAGTTGATCGCTCAGTTTCGCCCCACAGCGCAGCGCGTTGAAGAGATGCAGAAGAGAGGCGGCAGACAAATGCGGGTGAGGGGAAATGATGAAAAAGGTGTGTACCGGCATTATCTACATACCCATCCTGTGGGTGCTAGGCAGGTGCCTGAGGTCGCCGGAACGGCCGGGAAAGGCAGCACTGGCTGCACGCTCAGCCTTCCTGCCCAGTAGGTCAGGAGCGGTCAAGGATGTGATGTGGTCGGGGATGTGGGGGTGCGGGACGTAGAACACCCGTGGGGTCTGCAGGTGCGGTGCACACGCGCTGCCGCGTAGACGTGCCGAAGGGGCATCCCACCCCGCCCCACCACGAAGCCTCCTCACCACCGCACCCGTAAGGACTGCCCCCTCTACTGCCAGCTATTTTTTCACCCACGGACGTGTCGTACGCACCCATCGCCACCGGCATCTCCTCCCCACGCGCCACCCGCCACGCCCGCTCGCGCTCCTGCTGGGCCGCCGCCGCCTCCGCCCGGCGTCGGAGCTCCTCATCCGCCCTCCTCTCGTCCAGCGCCCCCCGCAGCCCGCTGTCCTGGAGCACCTTGGCTGCGGAGGCGACAGCTTGGAAGGCCTGTGGGACTCAGGGGGGGTACGACGAAGCATAGACGATAGACGATCGGCGCGAAGGAAAATGCCTAGACGGAAAATCCTTAGGGGGCCAAGGAGAAGGAAGAAAAAGGAAGATAAAGGGACGGAAAGAACACACACCCACACACACATGGGACAAGTGCCCTCGGCGGACAGGGAGACGTTCCCTAGCCCTGCCCCTCTGTGTGCCTTTCCCCCCTTCCACATTTCCCCTTCCCCCGGACCTTCAGCTCCTTGCTTTCCAACCCCAACCCCCCGAGACCCTCCCACCCTCCCACGGAAGACCTCCCACGAGAAACAGCCTCATGTCGCCAGGGGACGGTCAAGGAGGCCTCAGGAAGCTCAGAAAGGGGCCCCACACACGCGCACACACGCGCGCACGCTTTCCATCAAGTCGCCATATTCCCGTATGTATGTATTACCTCATGCGCCATCGGGTGTCCGCACTTGTCCGGGTGTATCAGCAGCGACAACCGCATGTAGCGCTTCTTGACCTCGCCCGCACCCGCAGAGGGCGTCACCCCCAGCACCAGGTACGCGTCCGCAGTCGGCCCCCCATCAGCGGGGGCCGGCAGCTTGGACGACTGGGCTCCGGCCGCCGCCGCAGCAGCAGCAGCGTTGTTGTGCTCGCGGAGGACCTGCATGTATGTGTGTGTGGTTGGTTGGTTGGTTAAGAAGTTGGTTGGTCAGGACATGGACCTTACCTACGTCACCCCAATACCAGTAGTGGTGAGTGAGTGAAGATGATGCTATGTGAAGCCATACATTGCATCATCAGGTGAAATTGTCGCCACCTTGCGTGTAGAGTGTAGGGCCAAGCGCGCAGGCTAAGTTAAATCAGACTCAACCCTACCCAACGCGACCGGACGCGACCAGGCGTTGAAAGCGGGGTGCGGGACGAGGATGGATGACGAAACGGAAGCCCGAGTACGGCGACCCAGTGTCCGGTGAGGAAGAGGGAACCCGGACGAGCGTCACGGTAGGCGCCATCCCGGACATGACGCCATCCCCCGGGGGGCCATCTCAGGCCAGCCCCAGCCAGAAGCCATCCGCCATCATTGCGGATGTCATCGCAAGGACTTCGCTACTCGCCCACATCCTGACCTGAACTTGACCACGGCGATAAATCGTAAAACCCTAAAGCCCGCCCACCTTAACGATGCGGATGACCTCCGCTTCCCGCTCGTCCTGGGGAGCTGCTTCCAGCTCCTCGACAAGCTCAGGGGGCGGAGGGCCTACCAATAGATCGCCATCGTTATCATCATCATTATCACCGAAGTCGTTGTACGACGGTACTGCTGCCCGTAACGCCTCCGCCGCAGCAGCGGCGGCCTCCAGAAGCTCACGTGGCGGCATGGCGGGCCCCGCGACACGACGTGGAGCGGCTGCCGGCGCCGCCGCAACTCCCGCTTCTGATGGCTCGCGCTCACATTTGATCTCGGCCGCGGACGTGCCTGGCTCCGAAACCATCCCCACACCCTCCGGCCTCTGAGCAGCTAAGTCTTCAAACCCATCGTCTTGCGCCGCCGCCGCCGCCGTTGCCGCTGCTGCTGCAGTAGGCTCTGGCTCCGGTCTTCCGGGCCCTATGGGACCCACACGGCCTGGCGTCCCTTCGCCAGGCCGTGGTTTGAGTTTCGTTTCCCCTCCGGGAACTGACTCCTGGCCGCCGTGTTCCGCTGCCGCCAGAGATGACGGTGCGGGAGGGGCTTGTGGTCGCGGCCGCGGCGGCTCGTCGAAAACAAAGCCCACGATAGGTAGGACTTTCTCGTTGCGGTTGACTAGGCCGAAAATACCCTGCGAGAGGAGGTCCGCGCCGCCGCGGGGTTCATGGATGTTCGGGAGGGATGGTGAAGCTCGTGTGCCAAGGTGACGGGATATTCGCCTGCTGGACCCTCTGCAGCGGGACAGGAATTGGTAATAGCACCAGCACTATCAGCAGCAGCGGGACCGACAGACCTTGTCGTTTCGTCGAAGATGCAGCAATTCCAGAAGCTGCGCGAGGCTGGCCTTTAGGTCGGGGTCAGGAACGCCGGAGATGTTGGCTGCCTCACCCTGATCCACCCGCCACAGCATCTGAGCCAAGGGGGCCCGGGCGTGGGAGAGGGGGGGTAGGAAAAAGAGCAGGAAACGAAAAAACGCGCAGGTCCGCCTCTAAGGGGCTACGCACCGCTAGAGCTTAGGTGCCTAAATCCGAGAGCACCGCGTTTGGTTACTTGCCTCGCGGAGCTCTTTCCTCACTGCTGGGTACATGGACAGGATGTCGCGCAGCTTTCTGACTGCAGCACGTTCTCGCTCCAATTGTTGCTCAGCTCCCTCGATGCTGCCTGGGCGAAACGATTTTAAGAGTTCTTCAGCTCTGTTGGTTTGCCTGGAAGATTGTGTACAAGGGCAGCTCACCATCGCTATCCGAGCTGTCTGAACTTGACCGCCGTCTGTGCTTCTTATGCTTCTTGTCCTTTTTCTCCTTCTTACTTTTACTTTTCTCCTTGTCCTTTTTACTCTTTTCCTTACCCATAATCAGGTGCTTGTCAGACGCAATTGTTTTCGGAGATGCTCCCTTGGCTACGGCTCAACATTCGGTGCTGCACCAAGCAAACTCGGAAACAAAACACTTTTAAAAAAAGGGATTGCCCTCTGAACTTCGTCCTGGTAAGGCCACTAACTACCGCCGTGCAGTTACATATTCATGCCGTACCATGCAAACACTCCAGACTCCACGGTTTTAAACACACTTTACCCCACCTTCCACAGCGCGCATGCGTTTTAGCACAGGATCCACGGCACAAAACCCCCACAAACATAGCACAGAAACAGTCCACAGTGACATCCATTGTCACCCGCATACTCTCCACCTCTGGAGTACTTACCAACCATATTCCCCGGCGAAATCCGGTCCAAAGTCGAGAACATATATAGCCATGAAAATTAGTCCTCAACCTCCCCTGCGAGAAACTGCTAGAGTTATTCATTCGTGGGTATTTCCATTTCCGCCGCGCTCCGGGTCAACATCATCCATCCTTCGAAACGGCACCTCTGCACACTGGTCAACGGAATCCCTAAACCAAATGCAAATTGACGCCAACTTAGGCAGCTGCTTCCCGCCAAAAGGAAAGTCTCCCTGTACAGCTGATCACCGCGTCCTGACCGTCCTCTCTGTCCCCTTCCCCGGTTCTCTTGTTTACGCAAATACATACACATATCTTGCCCCCGGGAGATCCCGGGATCGATACCCGTTAGGGTCAAAAGTCCTTCCGATGGTGGAAGGCATTGCGCCCCTAGTTGATGGACGGTGGTGACCTGGGATAAAGTTAACCTGCGAGCCGACCAGGAACGGAGTTGGACCGCTGTCGACCCGGCAGATTCCGTTGGATGCTGGTGGTGGGTGCGGAACCTAAGCGATCCACTGAGAAGTTGACTAGGGTGACTGGATGAGGGTGCCCCGAAATACCGGGGAAGGCAGAGTTTTGCAGGGTAGCTGCCACGGGCGAAGATACACCCCCCTGTTTCACACATCATACACATATACATGTACATCTTTATGTACATGTTTCTCGCTCACATACATAGACACGGGCTCCAATAAATACAGCTGCGGAGGCGCATGCGCGCATCCCCCGGAGGGGGAGGGAAACACCGTGTTACCTTTGGATTTCCGGGTGTTCGAATGCCCACACCCACCCACCTAAGCAGGTACGTGCACGTCGTATGTTTCCTCCTTTGGGGTGATCTCGTTCCTTAGCCGCACACCGGCCTGACTGCCACTCTCGCCACACATGCCACTCTCATTTTACTTTACGCCGACCTTTCCCCCCTACCAGGCACTCGATGAGCTCCCTGCCCGCCTCCCCGGCTGCCTTCCGGCTGACTGCCCGCCTGCCCACCCGCCCCGTGTCTCACCTCCTCTCACCTCCCACACCCCGAGTCGGTTTTAAAGCCCCGATCCCTCATACATACATACATACATACAAACACACCCTGCACATATTTTACCTGCACATATACTCTCATGCTGCGTTATGAAATAATTACTAGGCAATCTTCCACCATCAAACATACACACACAAACACATATGTGCGCTCTGATGCTCCCCTCCAGCAGCAGCTATCTCTCCAAGTATGCCATCTCTCGACTTCCCATCCCATCCCCCACCAGTCAGAGGTTCGTCCTAACCCCCAACCCCAACCCCAACCCCAATCCCACCACTACACACATACCTCTTTTCCCAGCACAGCATCTCTCTCCTTCCGCACACCCACAGCGGCTCTCACGCAGCCCTCCCCGCGCCCGCTCCCCCCCCAGCTCCCGTCTCCCCCCCCACCCCCCTCTCCGCAACCCCCGTCGCCTGCCGGCCACCCAGATATCTGGACACCTCAATACCGTCCTCCACGTCCTCCCGCCACTCCAGTTTGCACGGCAGCAGCTCCGAGCTGTAGCGCGGACTGCCCCTCACGTACTCCAGGTAGGGCTTCAGGCCGCCTTGGGAAAACACAACCGCGTTGTCCGCCACCACCACCGCACCTGGGGAACAAAAACAGACACATATACACAGACTGATATACATACACACATATATATGTACATATTATATATGCCGGCCCGATGGGTGAAGGCCGCGTCCTCACCGCTCAAGAACCACCCGCTCACCCAGCCACCCACCACCCACTCGCTCACCCAGCTCCACCACCCACCCGCTCACCCGGTGCCAGGAAGGGCTCTGCGGCCTTCAGGTAGTCCAGGTACTCCCGGGGGGTGCCGTCCAGAAAGAGCAGGTCGATGACCTCATGGCCTCCCCGGCCCTCCATCAGCCGGGGGAGGGTCTCGCGTGCATCGCCCCACACCACCTGCGTGCCGGGCAGTGTGACACAAGCTAAAGGGGAGGAACAGCTGGCCGTGGGGGCCCAAGAGATGAGGCGCAAAACACACACGTACATACGCACATACATACGTGCATACGGGCGCTGATAGGCACACAGACGACCCAAAACACACCACCCAGCCAGCACTCGCACGCCCTGGGTTCGCTTGCCTTTTTTTCCTTACGCCCCCCTTTCCCCCTCTCCCGCCCACCCACCCCACCTGCACTCGGTCTCCCACCCTCGTCTGCAGCCCCTGGTTCTTCTCCCCTTGGCTGGCCTGCCACATGAACCTCTTAGCCACCAGCAGCCAGCTGAGGTCCTTCTCGAAGCTCAGCACCCGACCCCCGGGGGGCAGAGCCTGGGCCATGAGCAGGGCGGAGTATCCTGCCAGCGTTAAGTGGGCAGGGGAGGAGCGGGAAGAAGGGGGGCGGGAAGAAGGGGGGCGGGAAGAAGGGGGGCGGGAAGAAGGGGGATACGACGAAGCACAGACGATTGACGAAAAGAAAATGCCATCGATGGATATTCCCCAAGATTAGACCACTAGACGCCCTAGAGTAGCAGTTGGGGGGAAGCTGAGGGAGGTGAGGTGGGCTGAAGGGGGGCTGTAGTGGGGAGTTGCGTGGGACTGGGCATGGTATGGTATGGTATGGTATGGTATGGTATGGTATGGTATGGTATGGTATGGTATGGTATGGTGTGGCGTGGTGTGGTTCAGCTGGACGGGGGGGTTGGGATCCGCGCATGCTCACCTAAGACCTGAACTCCCCCTTTCACCCGTCCTTTCCTTCCAATCCCCCTCCTTCCCTCCCTCCCGCCCTCTGCTTCTCTCCCCAGAGGGGGCCCTTCCCGTTACCCCCCACGTCGAAACGTCCTTAACGGCGCCTCCACCGAATCTGGCGTTTCCTGCCTCCCCTCCCCGGCCGCCCCCCGTCCGCTCCCTGGGGCCCCCCGATCTCCCCCGCCCTCCCCCCAAGCCAACCCAACCCATCCCTCACTCGCTCACCCGCCATGGTCCCCACCTCCACCACCAGCTGGGGCTTATGCTGGCTGACCAACTGGGTCAGAATGGCGCCCTTATCCGGCCCCACGAAGGGCATACCGTCCCGCCGGCCCCACCGCTCCAAACGGCGAAGAATCCAGTCGTCATTCACCTCCTGAATGACACGCGTACACACATACAGTGGCCAGGAATGGAGTTGAGGGGCCGTTGATCCGTCATATTCTCTTGGATGCCGGTGGTGGGTGTTGGCCCTGAGCGATCCACTGAATTCGGAGAAGTTGACTAGGGGGTGGCTAGATGAGGTTGCCTCGAAATACCGGGGAAGGCAGGGTTTCGCCAGGTAGCGGCCACAGGGTGAAGATACGACCCCCCCCTGTCCCAAACATCAAACAGCCACACAACATACGCGTGCACATACATACATACATACATACATACATACATACATACATACATACATACATACATACATACATACATACATACATACATACATACATACAGGTATATGACGGAACAAATGGATGAAACACACCACTGGGGGCCACGCAGGAGCAGCTCTACCAGGCAACAGGAATTTTTGGCCCCCTCCCCTTTCGGATCCACTAGAACGCAATTTGTTCGATCGTTCATTCCACAGTCGCCACGTCAACTGTCGTACCTTGAGTCGGGACATCTTTTCGCCCTTCTCGTTGACGTACACTTCCCGATCCCCGAAGGCTATCTGGGCCTCCCTGATCTCCCGCCGCCGCTCAATGCGGACCTGAGCTGGAAAGGGGACGGAAAGGGGACGGAAAGGGAAGAGGGGGTGAGGAGATTATGTGCCCTGCAAAATGGGAGGGTAGCTGTTATAGAAGTTCAGCGGTTGCAGGATAGGGAAAGGGGGAAAAACCCCAGCAGGCGCAGGACGGTATTCGAGCCCATGAACAAGCTCGGGGAATACAGGCCACGAGCTTCTACTTGAGCGGTCGAGGACAAGAGTGCGAGAAGATGATGTGATTTAGGTTGATATTGCGTAAATTCGCTTTGGAACGTCAGCGGTTTCCCTCCACAGGACGCAACCGATGATCCTTATAACAGCTTTTAGGGAGCATGCATGCGGTGCCTAGCAGTGGATACAGCCCAACAGCGCCTTCATTCGGCAGTCCATCCATCACCCCGACAGCAGCCGGACCGCGGGAATGTCCCTGGAAGCTTGCTACGTCGTACGGATGTCGTATATACCTTGTTGCTGGTCGTACACGAATAGGCTGGCGAAGGTGACGAGGCCGATGATGTTGACGAGCAGGTCCCGGGGCCCGCTGCCATCCGCTAGCTCCAGGGCGGGACTCTGCGGGAGGGCGGACGGGCAGGACAGGACAGACAGACAGACAGGTGTACAGAGGGATGGGCATGAGGACAGGCAAGCATGCAAACGGGCCGGCCAGCAGACAGGAAGTTTTCGGGGCTTCTGGGTTTTACAGTAAAATTCAAAAGTTTAAAAAACCAAAAACACGAAAATCAATCTGTTTTCCTATTAAACAATTCATTAAGCAAAACTTGTACAGATATTTTACTTCGTTTATAAAGACAGGTGTTTTAAAACTGGTATCAAGACATTTGACATTTTTGATGCTTTTTTAGCCTTTCAACCCTTTTACGAAAAATAAGAATCTTTCACCTACATACGTGCGCACGCATGCACAGCACCATAATCAATCAAATACACCATTTGGCTTAAGGAGGGTCACTAGGGTTACTAGGGTCTCTTCCTTCCTCTTCTCTCTTTATCCTTCTCCGGGCTGAGTCTCGCTGACGCACAGCATATGTAATACCTCGAGACACAAGCGGTCAGCCGACATTCCACACTCACTCACGGGAAGGGTTCCTTGTGCCCGGCATTTCTACTCGCGCAGGTAACTTTCTCCCATTCCACAACATGAATACCCACAACAGCTATCTGTGCTACTTTATTCCTGGACTACGACTACTAGTCTTTGGTAAAGTTCTGCACATGTATGACTTCCTTCTTCAACCTGTATCCATGTACATCTCGCGGCCAAGCTACATTCACCCGCAGATACACGCACACGCACACATGCACACAAACTCTCCCACACGCGCCTGCAGCAATCGTACGGCGGTCAGTGCTGTGGCGATGAGGCAGGAGGCGGCTGAGGCGCCAAAGAAGGTCAGTCGCAGGGGCCGGGGCAGGAAGAATTCCAGAAAGTTCTTGGGGTCCCGGAGCTCGTCTTCCAGCGCCCGCCGCTTCAACGCTTCCGGTTCTGCGGCGGCAGAGGAGAAGTGGGAGGGGGGGTTGAGGTGAAGGGAGAGAGGGAGGGAGGGGGAAGAAAGGGGAGGGAGCTTGCGTAAGGGTCAGAATCACTCGTACGATGGCGAGCAAGGAGGGGGAGGGACTCCGAAGGCAGCGGTCTTGTTGTTTCGCTGGCCGAGTGTTTTATACAGCGTTCAGAAAGCGTTTCAGTCGGGGTCGGTGTGTGATTTGCGGTGTGCGGCAACGCGGGGGACGGAGGCTGGTGGGGAAGCTGGCGACTGCTTCGGTTCGTAGCCCATCGTGGTGTTGCGTGCGTACGGACCGACATCACTTACCGCAGGCTTAAAGTTGACGTGGCAGAACTAGTTGTGTGGCCTGGAACGGATTGAGAACGCATGCTTACCGCGTCGGTCGCGCGGAGGCAAGCTCGCTGCGACAGTCAGCGTTGGGAGACGCCTCGATGAACTGATGCGTTCCTTACGCTTCATCAAGTTAACGTTATGTCTATTAATTCTAAAGTCAGTAAAGCAAGTTGGCCGAGATTGGCGATGGCCATCCAAGCACCTCATATTTTGCTTGCTGCTAGTAAGTTGGCAACAAAGCTTTCAGTGACAGGATGTTTTAATGTTTCCTACGCTTATAACTGTGGATGCGCACAGCTGCAGCAACAGCGCCTATGCAGTGGTAAACCATGGCCCTGCCACTCTCAACCGCGCAAACCGCCAACGAAGGAGGTCACAGCACTTTACTAGATCCCACATCCCGGTCTCCCAGTTACAAGCTGGCTGCATTTAAATATGTTGCTTTTTAAATCGTTTCTCCCCAATAAGTAACATGGAACTCAAATAAGCCCATAGGCCTTGCAGCAAGGGTGGTGGCAGGTTGTGTTCAGCAGCTGAAGTTCAACCCAACCTGCCACTCCCTACCAATATGCTAACCATCTAACATAGCTGACGTGTAGGAAAATGTATAAAAGCTTTGCCGCACAAGTACCCTGAATCCTCCATTGTCGCACCAGGATGCGCCTCCCTGTAATGCAGCCCACGCGTGGGTAGCATGGCTCGGAAAAGGAAATGGACAGCTATCGTATCCCATTGGCTTTTGACCTTGAGAAGGGGGAAGGAGAGAAGGGGGACGACGGGCAGCGCGTGTGGCGCCAACCACCTACACTACCCCACATATAGGGATACTCCCGATGAATCGCAGCAAGTAAAATGTAAAACGCTTTGAAGAGCCTCGTTAAGCTCAACATCTAAACTAAATAGCTAATAGAAAGATTGTGTATAACAAATGTAAATAAAACTAATTTCCAACTTTACAGTCATTAATTTCCCAGTATTCCTGCAATACATATCTCTCAACCTTTTTTCCACGTTTTAAATTCCGGTTTCTTCTTCGTAAATCACCCCTGGGCTCATCTTTTCTCTGTAGGCGTCTAAAGGCGTTGAATATGGTGATAGGTTCAACGCAAGCAAAGAGGTTGGCGCTGCGGCGGCGGATACCTGTGCAGGGAGGGCCCGGGTTTGGTTAATCCTCCCCACCTCTCCCATCTGCAAATTAGTCATAACCATCTTGGGCTGGCGCATTTTGCTCCATTTCCGAGCGTGGGGGCCTTGCCAGAAGTGTCCATCCACATCCAGGAGAAATCGCAAGCCTTCAAATGATAGTCCACGCAAAGTCATCATGTCACTCCTACTCCTATCGCAACCCGGCGAAGAATATGGCATGATGGGAGGTGCATTACCGTACCACCCTCCCGCTTGACATGTGAACGCGCTAAACTAGGCGTTCGTGTCCCAAGAGCCCCAAGCCTGAGCGACGTACAGCGCCTCAACTCTCAGCCTCTGGTCAAGTACATGCTATTACAGGTTCACAGCCCAAACGGCATATATACCAGTATCCGCACTGTAACTTACCCCGAACCCTGTCCCCACCCCGCTCCCATTACGTGACCGCGACGTGATAAGGTGGAGGCTCGCACAGTGTGCACCCGTGTGCTTCCCTCCGCCTGCTGGTGTGTGAGCGGCGACAAAAGCAAAACTATAGATGACAGATGCCCTCTGCTGCACTGCCCTCCAGGCGCCTGAATTCCCACAACCGGACTCATACAACCACCGCTGTCCGAACGCTATAAAAGCACCCCCATAACATGCACAACAGCTCCAAACCCTCAGCCACACCGCCGGCAGGATCCATTTTTTTCATGTATCGTCCATAAGCCACAGTACGGCCAGCAAGCCGCACGCCGTACATATGTCGGTACTTGAGGACGTTTCCGCACGTACCAACTAATATCCTGTTCCTGTTTTAGGTCCATGTTGTCTCTGGCGCACTATTAGCAGCAGTTAAAACATGCCCCGATGGGGTCGCTGCACGCGTGGCCTCATTGCCACAAAATCCCTTATCAACACATTTAGGCACAGGGGAAGGGGCCTAAACTAAACACTCTGCAGGTGCGCCGAAGGCCACGCGCATGCAAGGAAGTTCCACCATTCGGCAATGAAGTGGCAGCATATACCTCACACACCGCAGCAAAGCTATCAGTACCGCCAGTACTGATTATTATGCAAAATGCTTCTTATTTGGTGCCTGATTACGTTAAAATGCTTCACGGCCAGCTCCAGGGCCAGGCGGCATCGGCGCCTTCTTCGCCCTCCTTGTGACTCCTCTGCGCAGTGCCGACAGAAGCGAATCGCTCAGCATAACAGTGCGCATAAGGCACTGCTGGACTCGCTCTCCGGAATGCCGTCCCTCTCTCCCCACGTCCACCGCCGCTGCTTCCTTGCATCTGCCCCGCTGCTAATTCAGGTCAGGGAAAGCGACCGGGGACCAGGCGACAGCTGATGCGCGTCAACGCTGCTACACAGCAACACAGTAACAACGCACCAACAACCGGAAGCAGAACCGCGCACGACAAGGAGGAGAGAGTAAAAGCATGTGCGGCGGCGGCACAGGAAGGAGCATCAACATGGCATGCATCAACCGCAATCACCAATGCCAGCTACTACACAACAAAGCAGCAGCACAGAAGTTGCAGAACAAATCGCAACAGCAGACGCAGCGGCTGCAGTGAGATACAATATATTATAGCTTAAATGGGTGCCAAACCCCCCAGCAACCATCAGCCGCAACAGCAGCGGGGCACCATCATCGCCACATCCACCACCATAAGCATCCATCGCCTCCGCATCTGACGCCACCTCGGCCGCCGCCTCCGGGGCGTACACCACCATATGCCATTTCTGTTTAATCCGGTAGTAGTGTAAGAAGTTTTCATGTGTGACAGCTCTTTATATAGCGGTTCGAAACAACGGTTAAAAAAACCCATAAACCTTTTTCCAAGCTGCACCTAGTCCGCGACGGAACATCCTCTGAGAAATATGGCACTGGACAGCGCCAGCCAAGCAAACGCAAAAAGCCATTGCATAATCATCACCGCAGTCGCCACATACACGGATCGCTGCCTCCCAATCCGCGCCAGAACACGCTCTACCCATTTCCCACTCCATCACACCCGCTGAACCAGATGATGAGTGAAGCACGCCGTACTTTGGTGAGATAAGTTCGGTGCTGCCGCGCCCTTCCCCTCATCCTCCTCCTGAGTCCCTTCGGCGGGAGACAAGATGTGCCAGGTGGGATAGTGGACACCACCACCACCACCACCACCACTACCAGCACTGCACACTCATCCATCCATCCATCTCCCCCTTGCCTGCGGACTTTTACTAGCGAGTGCGGTGGCTCCTTGTCCTCCCTGCCATACTACAATTATCGCATATCTGCCTGCCAAGACCACAATTATCGCGTATCGCGCGAGTGGTCGCCAACACCAGCCAGCCATTGCATGCCGGTTAACCTGCATGTCTGCACGTCATCAGGGATGATGAGCTGCTTTCTCTTTAAAACATTCAGATTTTGCGTGGAATGCAAAAGTCCTGGTCCTTCATTATTGAGAGGTGTGGGTTATTGAGAGGTCAAGGCAACGCCAAAAACGGGGGGGGGACCATCGCCCGTGTGTCCAAATGCAATCATACTGTTCTTATTGTTCCTTCCCATCAGCCTCCCACGTACCATCTCGCCGGGGCCCCAGTCCAGCAGCTTGCCTATCCACCCAGCAACCCGTTACAAACCAAACGTTTGCCTCAGCATCACCGCCCTCCGTGCTCGCTACTCGAGCCGACTCCGCGTCCGCTGTGCAGTGATATCCTCCTCTTCCTCCTCCTCCTCCTCCTCCTCCTCCTCCTCCTCCTCCTCCTGGAACACTTCCTGCTCACACATCTTCCGTCCGTTTCTCCTTTGCCTCATCCTCCTAGGAAAACCTTGAGGGAGCGGAAGGCTCCCCCATTTCCCAGGACCCTCGGATGGCATCATCTGAACCCCCCCCCTTTGGATGCCACCCACTCCCCTTTCTCGTCATTGCCAACCGACTCTCAGACCGGGGACCGCCCTCAGTTGTTTCCTCGCACGCGACGTTATGATGGGACGTGACACTAGCAAGGAGCTCTCCGAAGTTCTCTCCCTCCTCCCCTGCCTCCCCCTACCTCCTTTTTCCCGCCCACCCTCACGGCGTGGGCAGTGCGGCCAACAACTCCAGCACAGCCACACACCGCGCCGGCTGCGGCGACGCATTTGTGGCGACCCTCTGCACGGGCACCCACGACACGTGAAAGTGCTGTTGGTGGTGCTGACCACTCGCCGACATGTCCTTGAGGCCGTGCTGAGGGTGGTGTTGGTGCTGGTGCTGCTGTTGTTGTTGGTGATGGTGGGTATGGTGGCTTTGGTGGGCGGCATGGCCGTGATTGCTTTGCAGGTGATGCTGATGGTGGTGATGTTGGTGGTGCTGGTTGCCTTGCTTGTCGTCAGCGACCTGGGAAGTGTCGAACTGGAGGCCAGAGAGCCGCCGGGGATGGCTAGGGGATCGAGTGCACATGGCACTCGCAGGCGAGCCCGGGCAGCCGCGGGGGCTACCGCCGCCACTACCGCCGCTGCCACCGCCGCCGCCAGTGGCCGCCTCCGAAACAGCAATTACCCGTGCAGTCGCTGAGGACCGAGGAGAGGCACAATCACCGCCGTTTATTCGCGCCACCGCCGCCGCCGCAGTAGTAGCAGCGACGCCGCCGCCACCTGAGCTGCCGCTGTCGCCGCTGCCGCTAACCCGCCGTAGATCTCTGCTCCGACGTGCGGTACTTCCCCCCCCCCTGATGCCATCGTTGTCCACGTCATCGTCAAGGGCGTGAAGTACCCGTGGGCCGCTGGCACCCATGCCACCACCGCCAAACATACCACCGGAGGCGATGACGGGCCCCGACGTCCCAGCGTGTGGCCCGGCTGCTGCAGCCGCCGACGCCCCAGCGGCACCGGCACCCGTGCCGTACTCATCATCAGTGAGCTCGACGGAGCCCTTCTCGTACCAGACTCGCACCCAGATAAGGCACGACATGTCCATGCCGTGCGCCGCCAGGACGGACGCTGCAGCACGGCGGAAACGTCGTGTCAGTTGCGCCGTCGTCACGCCTGGCGCAAACACTGCCGGCGGTAGGTGGAACAGCGAGCGCAAGACCTGGCCGTAGCAGCAGACCGTTGTAACCATGACGTCACTGCTACTGTTACTGGCGGCGGGTGCGGCGGAAGCCGCCTGTCCCTGTTTGGCATTGGCGGCGCCCCCGCCAACGCCAGACGCGGCGCGCAGCTCTGACGCCGGCGGAGCACCAGCACTGGCAAGAGCGGTTGCCGCGGCTGCTGCCTGTTTCGGAGTCAGGCTTGCATCAGATCCGAGAGATCCGGAGCTACTCTGCGGGACCATGAGCGGGGTCGGGACGTGCTGCGGCGCCGGCGCCGGCATTGCAGCTGCGGCGGCCGCGCACAGCAGCGGTGACGCCCCGCCGGCGGCAAGCAACGCCGCTGCTGTCGTGCTCGCGCTAGTCGGACACTCAAAGGGACTGCGATGAATCGGCGCTCCTCCAACACATGGCTGCGGGACGGCAATCGCAGCGGGCCGTGCGCGTGCGATAGGAGGGGAAAGGCCGCTCCCCCCGGTGCCGCCACTGCTGCTGAGCGCGCCCGCAGACACGGCCGGAGCAGCGACCGCATCCGCCAGCGAGGCTGCGTTCGTACTGTGCGGTACAGAGTACGGCTGCTGTGACAACAGTACAGGCGGTCCACCGCGGCCCGAGGAGACTTCAAATGATAAGATGTTGCCGTCCAAGCTACTGCGGTGCGCCAGCGGCCCGGTGCTACTACCACTACCGCTACTGCCGCTATAGCTCGAGCGCGGGGCCAGCCCGGAGGCGGAGGGTGCCGTGGGGGTCTCCTTGGTTGTGGCGCCGCCATTGCTACTGCTAACCCGATGACGCCGGCCGCTGCCACTAGGCCCAGGCGCGGACCGAGCCAAGCTGTGATGCTGCTGCGGCAGAAGGGGATCAGCCATGGGCTGTTGCAGCGGCTGCAGCAGGTGCTGTGATGAAGACTGTAGCTGCAGCAGGTGCTGTATCGTGGGTGACAGCAGCTGGTGGCCGGAGCTCTGTGCCGAAAGGGGCGGCTGCGGCGGCGTCAATAGCCCCGGAAGCTGCGACCCCACTGCCACAGG